CTGCTGCTGCTGCTGCTGCTGCGTCTGTTGTTTGTCATGGCTGCTGTTCCCACCAGCACCAGCACCAACACCACCAGACCCCTCCGTATTTGTCCGTTGCAACATGCCCTTCCGATCGCCCGTCAACGGCACATCCCTCCTACTGTCAAAATTCCTCGGACTCCTCCCCCTCACAATCACCGGGCCGGATTGGATCTCCGCCAACTTGATCAGCTTGTCCCCTGACTCAGCGGTCTTGGCCAACAAGTTGATTTGCACCACATAATGCTGCTGCAACCCCTTTCTCCGTCCATTGTTCGCTGTGGCATGCTTAAATTGCAACCGCTTCCACGACACGGGTATCGACACTCTGTTCCCGCTTTTATCGATTTCTTGTCCGGCGGATAAGTCGAGTAACTGCTTTGGTGGTGTGGTCGCTGTCCTTGACGATTCTTCTGGCTGCTGTCCTTGTTGTTGTCCCCCTCCCCCTGCGGCGGCAAAAGCGGGATTATTACTCTTCCACGGAATGCTGATAATCTCCGTCGGCTTCCCCTCGATACTCTCCATAGCCGTGATGGACGCCCACAGCTCTTTGATCCGCACCTGTCTCCCTGCTGCCCCATTGCCACCAACCTGCTGCTCGTTGCCATCTAGCAAAAGCGAGCAATGCAACGCATGTCTGGGCAACGTAATTTGCCCTGTACATTGCCAGAGATTCCTCCGATAACAGGTCAACTCCAACGGCCTCGCACCGGGGTGCTGTGCCTGTGCCTGTGCCTGTCCCTGCCCCAGTCCCTGTCCTTGGTCACTAACGGGCGTGTTACTGGCAAACACGTCCTCAGCAACAAAAAACATGCCGTATAGCTCGGCGGTCATGTTCAAGTCGGCGAACCGCCCCGTTTCAGAGTCGACCAGGGTCGCTTGCCCGGAGGGGATGGGCGGGCTGAAGCCGAGCAGCTTGTTGTCGAGCAGGTCGGAGGGCGAGTCGACTTCGTTGGTGGTTATTTTGAGGGCGGCTTCGGCTTCGGCGGCGACGGCGCCGACGATGGGACCCCCGCCGACGGATGGGAGGTTATATGGTGTGTGGCCATGGCCCTGGATGTGGATGTGGCTGTGCCCTTGCGAGTGCGCGGGTAGGGGAGGGAAGGATGTTGTCGCGGAGAAGGGGTCTTCGAAGGTGAAGTTGTCGAAGTCGTAGGCGGAGGGGGTGAAGGGGATTCCGGCGTGGAGGTCGGCGTTGACATCACTGTGGAGGTTGGAATTGGGAAGGTTAATGGTTTGCGATTTGCTGGTGGTGTTGAGAGATGAGGTGGTGATGACATACAGAAGCGCTTCTTCAAAGCCAAAGGGATCGCCCATGCCCATTCCCATGCCCATGCCCATGGGTTGACCGGCGGCGCTCAGCCCGAGGGCGTCGGCAGTATCGACTGGTGCGCCATTGGGGAGCTGTGGTATGGAATTGAAGCTGGCCATTGCATCGTCGGTGGTGTTAACAGATGGGTAGAGATTGGCCGGATTCGATATCGTTGCTCGTGTGTGTCGATCGCGGTGACGACTAACCGCGGCTAGTTTGGTTCGAATGGTGATCTGGCGGGATAGGTCCCGATAACGGTGTTGCTTATACCTTGCCGCTTCTATAACTCATGGTGTGGTGTGTCCCACGGCTGTCCGTTCAATCGGCTGAGGCTGAGGCTGAGGGAAGCGAGGCCTGGATGTGTTGGTCGACGATGGCGAGAGACGGGACCCTTGCTTTCATTGGGAGTATGGTCAGATATCAAGGCTGGGTATCTTTTCAGATTGCGCCGTGTGATCAATTGATGTGGAATGGGTTGCGACGGGACGGGTGAGAGAGTGTGATGGTAGGTGTTATCGTTGCCGGCTTGCGCCAACTGATCCAGTCCGATGTCAGCGAGGCCAGACAGAAGAGGGCTGTGATCAGCGAACTGTATCTGCAGCGGGTATAGTGTTCAATCAGATGCCGTCAAGTTGCAAGGCCAGGGCAGCGTCATACAAGATATTGGCTGCCAAGACTCTGTCTGCTGGGGGGGTTGGAAGTGCCGTGCCTGGTGGGTGTGCCAAAAAGTCAGGCAGCTCAGGTTTCACTAACACTCGTCGACCACTCCTGAAGCGTTATCAGAATCAATCGCGCTTCATACTCCATACCTTGCCGTCAGAAGCCATCTTTCTGCCCATAACAGAGCTGACGAGCGTTCAATCGCATCTTGATTTAAAAAAAAGAAGACGGGACGAAGAAAGAAGCTCGAGTGGAGACGAGATGAACCCCAGACGGGATGGACAAATGTGGAGAACTCGTCCCGTCAAGAGTGGACTGCCGAGTCTGGGGTTCAGTTCAGTTATGACGAGCACAGTGCCAAGTTGACTGAGCATGGTCTGTTTTTGACTTCAGTTCTGGCGACGACATTCTCACTGCAGATAGCTTGAAACCATAACGGATTGGTGCACAACTAAGAGAACACCATCAACGAAAAACAAATATCCATAGCCCGCTTAGCTTCGGGCGCGCGGCGGAGTGGAAGCGGGAGGTTTTCCCTCCGGGAAACACGGGTTTTCCTCCTGACTTTGACTGATATGAAGGACCGCATGCCCACAATGGGCGACTAGTTAGTTAGGTAGTCCGCGTGAATATGATCATTATCATTATTATTGTTATCCATAATGCCACGCAAATCTTAGTACGCCATGTCCTTCTTCTCATTCAACCCCATCCTCTCCTCCTCCACAACACCCGCCAACGACACGGCCGCCCCAAGCAGTGAACTCTCCTTTGCCTCAACCAAATCTATCCTCCGCTCCTTCAAGTTGTGCCCCGAAGACATCATCAGCTGGTCCAAATACTTTTGCAATGTCTCCTTGTAACCCGGAAAACATGTCAAAACCGATCCGGTATACCCTACCGTGGTTCGCTCCATCATTAACTCTACCGCTGTTTCCTCGCTGAATGGTGACTCGGGCTCCAGTTCGTCCAAAAAGGTTTGTTCAGCCTCATTCTTGAGCTCCCACAACGCAAACACCGAGGCAGCGACGATGGAAGCCGATCGCTGGGCGATATAACCCGCTAGTTGCTGCATGAACCGCATGTCCTCGGTGCTGGGATAACCGGCTGGTAGGTGGTAGAGCTGTGAAAAGACTGCTTCGGCTCTTCCTCTGGCATCTCGTCCACTGATATATGTGTTAGTAAGCCAGTCGAGAGTAGAAAGACAAACAGAGAAGAGAGGGCAACTTACTTAATGATTAGTGACATGGTCCCAGTATCCATAGAATACGCATCCAACAACAGCGGTGAAATCTTTCCTCCCAACAGACCCGTCGTCTTGATCGCCTCCAACAAGACAATCCGGAACACCTCACCGAGGTAGTACCCACTGACCAGATGCTCAAGCGGCTGGAAGTCGGGCCTTTCGTGACCGGCTTTGAGTATCTTGTCCCATCGCGTCAGGGGCAAAATGTCACGGCCAAACATGCCCAACTCGGTGTTGACCATGACATGGCTCGCTTGCTCATACCAGCTGTCGGGTCGTTCCCCAAACTTGGATTTTCCAATGAGATTTACCGGGAGGTGGGCAGCAATGTTGACGCCAGTTCCAAGAATCAGTCCGAAGCGTGCCGATGGGCTGGAGTATGCCGACGAAAGCAAAGTGGCGTTGGAATCGTTGACTATCGAGACAACCTCGACGTTTACTCGGAGTTCTTGGAGAATCTTGTTGCAGGTGGCGCCAAGGTCCTGTCCAATCAGTCCGTCGCATGCAAGAAAAGACTTGCCCATGGGGCAGATGTTTCCTCCGTTGGGTGATGTTTGCCTGTCGTAGTGTTAGTTGGCTGATCTTGGGATGAAAGAAAAGTGAAGTGATTAACATACTCTAGAGGGAAGCTCCAGGCCAATCCCATTGGCATTGGATCTCCCACCTCATATTCCGCTTTCGAAATGTGCCCAGCGTCAATTGCCTTCTTCAAGCTTGTCTCTATTTTCCGAGCCATCCATTTGAAGAAAAATGCCCCCCGAAGCAGTCGGACGTTCCTGTCTATTTTGTAGCTGTCCATATGGACAATGTTGCTGTCGTCATCATCTGTGGTCTGTCGGCCCTTCAGGTCCACCACACCCACGCGAAGTGTCGAGCCACCAATGTCGACCGCCAGATACTGGCCACTTTCATGTCCGCCAGGCAGTTGGTGGTTGTAAGAGGGAAGCATACATGCTGGGTTGGTCTGTAAACCTTTTTCGAATTGTGCCTTGAGCTTCTTGGAGAGTAACAAAAGAGGGTCGTTTGGGATTGGGCCGCTGTTTGTTATAAAGTGATTGCTGCCGATCGGTCCGAGAAGGAGCTTCTTGGCCTCTTTAAGAAACTCCTCCCTGGTCCTTCGAAATACTTTGATCTTTTTGAGTTTGTTGGGGTTGGACTTGGGGCTGATCCAAAGGGCAAGTAAAGCTTGCAAGAAGGATCTGCCTCGCGAGAGCGATTTGAGGGCGTTTATGATTAATAGCTTGAGGGATGCCATTGCGAAAACGAGTGACTGCTTGGCATTTGAGGTCGAGAGTAGACTAACGGAAGGAAGGCCTTTCTTAAGTCATTTAAAGACTCAAGGGAGGATGAGACAAATGCCGAGTGAATAGGATGCACCTGTTCTAACCATAGCCTGACAGAATGATGATGACTGCTGTCGAGAGCAGGAAAAATAATACACGTCGTCGATCTTGTCGCCCTCACCACTCTGGACAAGAGGCAGATGGCGAGCCCAAAGACTGACAACAAGCCGCTGGATACAGATGGCGGAAACAATGCGATGATGATCTTGAGGCTCTGCTGAAACAGAATCTGTAGCTTGGTATGTTGGAAGTAAAGTACGATAGTGTGGCGGTGAGAAGCAAAAGGTTGGCAACAAGAGGGAGGGAAGGAAAGGTGACGAGCTGATGAGGGGAGGCTAACAAAATGCTATGTTACAGCCGTCAAAGAGGGCAATGTTAGTTACCCAGGGCCGCAAGAGGAAGGAATACCTGTACGGCTCTTCTTGTCCAGATGCTGTATTGATTGCCAGAGAGCGATCTAGGCTCCTCAAAATCAGAAACCTTGGTTGAAGCATGAGTCCATTGCAATCATTACAATATGTGAGAGAAAGTTAGCGATGTAGTGTGATCAGCTTTGACGACAAAGCTTGACCGCACAAGCTAGTATCATACCAAGGCGAAACATGAACACTGGAGGACAATGAGGAAGTGTGGGGTGCAGGAGTGAAGATATTGCGAATAAAGAGCAGAGCCAATGACGTTCCAACTTGGCAGAAAGCAGCTGAGTGGATGTAACCAGGAGAAGGGCAGCGGGTAACAACTTGGCAAGCAGCGCTTGATACTATGTAGATGTTCAGGAGAAAGAAGGCCTGTGGAAGACTATCATCTCAGTGATGTCAACGAGTGTGTCTCAGGATTTCGCTGATGGTTGGTTGTTGTGCACATCAAGTGGAGGAACGAATGCACAAGGTGCGAAAGTAACGTTGCCTTTTTGTATGTTGCTCGGTCTTTTGGTCGCTGCAAGTTGGAGGGAGGGCGCTTGACATCAAGCAATGCAATTGCGTCAATAATCGGAACCAACCGAGGGGCAGAAAGTAGCAATCAGTCGACAAGAAAGTGTGGTCGACAAGCCCGGTTCTCAAGCCGGCTTGGAATCATCCAGAATGCGATCATAACATGGAGGGGATGGAATGTGGGATTGAAGGTGGAAAGATTGAAGAACAAAGTCATCCGAATCGACAATTGAACTTGAAGCCCGCCAGTCACGGTGTCAATGAACGCCAAAGTACAGTGCGCTGCTGAGCATGGCCCGTGCAGCAGGCCAGTTTCTGCAAAGTCTTGACACTAAAGTCTTAGGGCTGCTGTGCACGAGCCATATCAAATCATCTCAGTATGGAAGGAAGGAACTCGACGACGACAATGACAATTCAGTTGCCTCAGACTTTGTGCGTACCTTCCTCTACTAGTGTAGGTCGCAAAGAGTCTCCCGAACTGAGGGTTGCAATCAAATTCCATTTCTCACTCTTATAACAAACCGCCCTGCTTGTCGGATGAAATCGCGACAAGTGTCTCCCACGACCAACGCAGGCACAAGGTATCACTTGTGCCCAGATCAGCGCAGGACAACGGAAATAACCGTGTTGGGACGTCACCTCCACGAAGCCTCTCCCTCCTTGATTCTCACAAGTCGACTTTGTGGCAAGATAACAACCACAAGTGTCGGTCGCCGCCAATCACAATGACACACAAACGACCAAACGCTGTGCCCCATTGATACCCGGCGCGAAGCTGGCGATGTTATGATTCCCAAAGATGAACGTTCCATCTGTCCTCCTCTTGCTTATCTTGTGGATCTAGAGGATTGAGGTACCTACCTCTAGTCGGTCATCTGGAAGGTACGACGGGATGGATTGATCATTTTCTGATGCCACCTATTGCGGGGTCGATACCCCAGTTCGTGGAGATGCCCTGCCCGTCATGACTGGACCCTGGAGTTGATGGATGGTCGCCCTTGCCAGTCTCGAGCATCGACGTTAGTGCATCTTGATGGCTGACGACGGGACGGGGGCGGCTCTGTTGACGGGAATCTCACAAAACTCCACGGTAGAGGTATTTCTTCCCTTTAGTCATTCTTTTCCCCATTCACCGAGACATTGTCTCTGCCCTTGACAGTATCGTCTCTAATCCCTCACCCATTCGAGCACCCTGTCCCCGTTCTCTCCACCATCAAAGCATCACTCAACCAGCAATATGGGGCTCGTCATCCGCGACAACGCTGAATCCGCCAGCTCCTACGTGGCCGACTACATCGTCAACCGCATCAACTCCTTCTCTCCTACCCGCACTCGCCCATTTGTCCTCGGTCTCCCGACCGGCTCCAGTCCCCTTGGCATCTACAAGTGTCTTGTAGAGAAGTACAAGGCCGGTTTGGTCTCCTTCGAAAATGTCATAACCTTCAATATGGTAAGAACCACCAAAACTCGGAAGTTCCGTCTTCCCATATCTTGCTGACAATGATTGCAGGATGAATACGTCTCCCTTCCCCCGACCCACCCTCAATCCTACGCCTCCTTCATGCACGATAACTTCTTCTCCCAAGTCAATATCCCCCCACAAAATACCAACCTTCTCAATGGCCTCGCTCCAGACCTCGCTGCCGAGTGCTCACGCTACGAAGCCAAGATTGCTGCTGCCGGCGGAATCGACCTGTTTCTTGCCGGCTTGGGAGAGGATGGACACTTAGCTTTCAACGAGCCTGGCTCCAGCTTGGCCTCACGAACGCGTGTCGTGGCACTAGCGGAGGACACCATCCTTGCAAACAGTCGATTCTTCGATGATGATGTGAACAAGGTGCCCCAGTTGGCGTTGACGGTGGGGGTAAAGACGGTCCTAGAGGCGAGGGAGGTGCTGATGATTGTTCTTGGTGCCAAAAAGGCGAGGGCGTTGAAAAAATGCGTGGAAGAGGGAGTGAGTAGTATGTGGACTGGCTCGGCGTTGCAGATGCATGAGAGGGCTATCGTAGTCTGTGATGAGGAGGCAGCGGGGGAACTCAAGTGGAAGACGGTCAAGGTTTGTGTTTCTGTTTGTGGACCTGTCGATGAAGAACAGACAGTGCTAATGTGTGGCAGTACTTCAAATCGGTTGAACGCCGAGAATCCGGCCACAACCGCGGTTCTGACCAGTCCCTGCCCATCAGGAAGGGCCTTGGTACCCCGCCGACCAAGCTCAAAACCGCCGCTGGACCACTAACCCCAGAGTCGACACCAAAAGCAACTGCCACCCGCTCCTCGTCTTCTCCCATTTCCCCGTTGGCACAAACGGTGCCAATACTTCTCACCACAAACGTCGAGCCAGCCCAGTCCTCAGTCCACACGGCTTTGGAGCAAAAGATTCTAGCCCAACCCGTCCCCAAAAGTCATGGCCTTCTAGGGCTCCTCGGGACCTCATCATACGGCCATACCTCGGATGGGGACTCTGAAGCTGAGTCGGAGTATGACCTGAAGCCAGACAGGATGGCATCCAGGCTAACTGATCCCGTTTTTGCTGCTGAAGCGTTAAGAAGATTGACGCCTAATCCCGAAAAGGGGAAAATGCTTGGGTAGTGAGGATGACACCGGAGTCCATGGATTGAAAATGGCAAAGATTGTTTTAATGACTGGATACACCACGGGTAGATTGACTGTATTTGCTAATCTTGAATACCCCTAATAACGGAAGCAAATAACCAAACAAGGCAATTTCTGATTGATATCCTAACTACAAACAACCCGAGACACGCGTAGAACCGTCGGCGTTAAGTGACTAAGAAACAAAAAACAAGTCGTATATCACCATAAGTACATCCCTCCAACGTGTCAAAATAATCAGCCACAATTACGCTTACCGCGTATCCAAAGAAGAAAAGACCGTATCATCAATCGTAACATATCCAAGCTGACCGAGATGGCCTAAGCAAGCGAAGCAAACTGTAACCAGGTTAGCAATCAATCACTCCTCAACATCCTTGCCTCTTATCAGTCTCAAAGGGAAAAAAAAGGTAAACTCACCTGCTCAACCCCATTAACCACCTCTTCCCAAACCTGCTGCACCTCAAATCCCATACCCAACAACGTTTCCACACTATTGTTCTGCTGCTGTCCCCCATCCCCTGATCCACTGCCACCACCACCATTGCCATTGCCATTGCCATTGCCATTGCCATTGCCATTGCCATTGCCATTGCCATTGCCATTGCCATTGCCATTACTCACCCAATTCAACAAGCAACTAGCCATCTTCTCCCTCTTATTCTGTCTCAACCCCAACATCACCAACCCCTGCAACACCAACAGATTTGCGTTTGTTTGTTGTTGCCCCATCATGGACGACACAACAGGCGCAATGATTCCCCCGGTGCCACCCCTAGAAGATGCCGAAGCCGACGACAAAGAAGGGAGATGTAAGTCCCTTCCTAACTCGCTGCTGATTATGATGGTGCCTATTACTTGCTCTGCTCCTCCTCCTCCTCCTCCTCCTCCTCCTCCTTCTACTACTCCAGGGGCTGGAGGGGACTGGGACTCGATCTTGGCGCGGATGATCCATGTGTTGTTGTTGTTATGGTTGTTATGGTGGTTGTTATTGTACGAGGTAGGATCAGTAGGGGAAGCAGAAGAAGAATATGACAAAGAAGAAGAATAAGGAGGAGATTGAAGAAGAGCAAGTCGGTAAAGAGCGAGGATTTCGGGTGTGGCGTGGGATGAGACGAAAGAGAGGACGGATTCTTGTTCTGCAGACAGGGGTGAATTTGGGGTTGAATTTGGGGTGCGCCCGCTGCCGCCGCCGGGGATGAGGTCGAAGGAGATACCGGCCAACTGGAGGGTGGTGGGTAAGTCTGGGGGTGAGGACCAGGATTGGAGAGAGGGGAGGAGGAGGTTGTAGATTTTGCGGGTACGGACAACGCTCGAGGAGGATGAAGAAGGGGATAAATCCCATCCGCAGGTAGTGGAGAACCAGGATTTCAGACCAGAGGAAGCGGCGGTGGAAGATGTGGTAGATCCAGGGGTTATAGCTGACGACATGGACAGGGCATCAGACTGGTCGAGTGGGATACCGGGGAAAATACCAGGGAGACAGCACCCCAGCTGGAATTGCTTGATGTCCGGATGTTTCTGGAGGAGGTTCCTCACGGCCCGGCGGTGGAGGGAGTACCCTATCGACAGGTTACGTTTGGACGGGTCGACGAAGATGGCGCCTATGATCCCCGTGAAAGTGGAGGGGAGGTAGTAAGTGGAGCAAAACCCGTACAAAGCGCCGGTGGAGGAGTTGCGGACGACAAAGTGCTGCTGCTCTTCCATTTTCTTTTTATCTTCTTCTTCGTGCTGCTGCTGCTCCATAGTCATCACGTCGGATAACAGCGAGAAGGAGTGTGGGCCGAAGGCGTAAAAGTATTGATGGTTGGGCGCGCTGCCGCGGACCATGGCGAAGAGGAGGTCCTGAAGTCCTTTGGTGTCTCGTTCGATGTCGTAGGGTTCGACGAGCCAGTGCTGCGTGCGGGTTTTGGATTTGCCGCCTGCGGAGCTTTGGACGGCCTTGCGGGGGGCTTTGCGGAGGGTACCGGGGAGGGTGCCGTGCGGGGTGAAAGCGCCGCATAAGGCGCGGACTAAAGCGGACATGGCGGTTTCGGTGAAGTCAAAGGTGCAGATGTAGGTCCCGATGGACTTGTCCATGGCGAAGTCGTAGGGAGAGGAGACGGCTATGACGATGAGGTTCTTTTTGTGGCCCGAGGCTTTGAGGAGGGAACACATCATTGCTACGTGTTTGGTGAAGCCGGCTTGGTAGAGGTTCCTGTTGGCGTCGGCGGTGAGGAGGATGATGGTTGAGGCGCGTTGGATGAGGGATTCGTGGACTGGATGGTGTTAGTAAAGGCATGTTAATGGGGAAGGGGAAAGGAGGAAATCATACCTGGCCGCACACCGTTGGCGGTATAAGAGGTGTGAAGCAACTTGCCATGTCTAGCGCGGGCTAGAGATCTCCCAAGTTCCCTAAACACTCCCTCGCCACTCATAATGGCACTGCGCTCCCTATGTATCCATTTATCATGAATAGGATTCTCCGACCTTATCTTGGTCGAACCTTCAAGAATCGTCTTCGTCATGGCCGACGCCGGCAACGGCTTAACCAGCGGCGTCAAAAGCAACAGTTCCTCCTCCTGATGCATGCTTTCATTGAGCGGCAACAACTTCTCGTTATCCCTCATCACCGTAATCGAGTCATCGTACGCCTTCATGCTCAACGCCAGATGGCTCGGGTGAATCTGCTTCAGCAGCGAGATCCCCGGCGGATTCAGCGCCTTGGCCCAATCCGTACACCCCCTCTTCATCTTCAACACCCTTCTCAAGCTCGTATAAACCCTCTCCTTGGTCAACACCTCATTCTCCAGTCCCAACTTCAGTCCAGAAATCGCCTCCAGCTGGACATCATACGCCCTGCACAACAACACCAAATCACACCCGGCCTGCACAGCCATGATGGTCCCCGTTCGTACCCCCATCTCCGTGCGAAGAGCTTCCATCTCCAAACACTCTGATATCGCGACCCCAGTGAACCCCAGCTCTTCCCGCAAAAGTTCATCAACCACTTGCTCGCTCAAACACGCATGCGCCACTTTCATGCTCGGATTCGTGATCCCGCACCCGCCGACGAACATGGCGTCCAACTTGCCCGTGGCAATCGCGTTCCGGAAGGGCACCAGCGCTGACAAAGCCAGTTCTTCGAGCGTCTGCGTGATAATGGGTATATCCAAACTACTACCCAGGAAATCCAGGTTGCCGTAAGAGGGAAAATGTTTCCCGCACGTGGCGACGCCGGCGTCTTTGTACCCCTTCATGGCGGCAATTCCATACTGGGAGACTTCTTGCGGGTCGTCGGAGGTGGCGCGGACTCCTAAAGGCTGGTAGCGCGCGTTGGTAAGGACGTCCAAAACGGGGCCGAGGATGAGGTTGACGCCGCAGGCAGAGACTTCGGTGGCGGTTGCTTTGGCTAGTTGGTAGGAGAGGTCAGGACTACCGGCCGCGGCCTGGCCCATGGAGGAGGGGAATTGGCAGATGTGTTCTTCGTCAAAGAGGGAGTTGACCCCCCCGTTTTCTTGGTCGAGGGCGATGAGGAGGGGGTAGGGGTGGCCGGCATTGTGGGCGATGGTTTGTAGCTCTTGGACGAGCTTTGCTGTTTGGTGGGCGGCTGGTGATGGGGGTGTTAGTATGGACTACTGGATTCTAGATTGGGGGGAGAGTACAAGGTGATGAGTACATTTGAGGTTCTTGGCTGTTAGGAGGATGGAGCCGAGGTGGTGGTCTGTGATGAGCTCACGGATTTGGGGGGTAACTTCGGTGCCGTCCCAGCCCATGATTAACATTTGGCCTATGGCCCTGAGAGTGAGGGGAGGTTGAGATTAGCTTGCTGTATGGCATATTGTGATGAGGTTGGATGATGGTGTATGGGAGGAGGCGACTGTCCGGGACCGGGACCCGGAGCCGGACCGGAGCCGGACCGGAAGAAGACCCGGAGAACGAGATACCGAGTCCGATCAACCATGTCTGAGATTGAGTGATGATGACGGAAGACGACCCGGGGGACCGGTAACCATAACACGTGTGAAGTGAGTCGTGAAGAGCCAGGATGAGATGATGTGTACGTACCAGTCCATATCCTGCCATAGTGGGTCTAGATCGGCATCCATGACGGCGATTGGAGGCTGAGGAGGCTGACCAAGGTTTGAGAGGGCTGAAGATGAGTACGTCAACCAAAAGCGCCCGCTGTTTCAATGTTCCAGTTCACTACTGGGATAATGTCATGTCACGTAACGGCGATGGCTATGTCAACATGATATGGGGTCTTGGTGTTTGCTGAAAGTGGTGGGTGGAGGTAGAGGGTGTGTGGTGTAACAATAGTGTAGGTGGTTGTCAATGGAGAACACGTTAACGCGGTTTGTTGGTGGTGGTGAGATCATTGTAGTGCTACAGTGGCCGCTAGAGAGCCATTCACTGGTAGGAAAAAGATGATTGGTTAGTTGGTGATCGATTGGGCGGCGCTTGGCTAGATTGGGTAGGCGTTGGATTTCCGTTGATCCTCCACCATTTCTGACATGTGTTTTTCTTCCCGTGATCTTGGACAACGTCGCTTTTGGGCGTCGTAATTCTCACTTTTTGGCATCGACCAGCAACGTTACACTTGAGATGTCCATGATAAAGACTCGCAACGATCCCGATCAACACTCACTCACCTTGATATCAATTTCTGAGGTGTGATGGATCTGGCGGCCCGACTATCTGCCAATGCCGAGCAAACATCTTCCCTCGTTTGATGGTGATGGAGAATCCTTCTCCGACTGAGCTTCGTCCGGGGATCACAACCATCCTTGACGAATACCATTCGCGGCAGGCACCATGTGCGCCCTTGGTTGATGACAATCCACTAACTTTGCCACAAAAGGCAACACACCTTGCACACCTCGTCGTGGACAGTGATGATGTCTCGTTACGCCGTAACACTCCTATCTTCATCCGATCTTGCGCCGTTATCTCATCGTTCCTTTGGTGAGGTTGTCCGGAAATGACGCGGATGAAGATACCAACGGTATCGTCCGGTGTTTGTGTAGATCCCCCATCTCGTCTTAGCGTCCGATAACAAGTATCACCAACGGAAGGACAGAACGACCTATCAACTTGATGAACAAGCGTTCATATCACCAAGCCCCTCCCCGAGAACTTTGATCTCTCGAGTGAATCTCCCGCCAAGAACTTGACATCGTTCATCCAGCTTCACACGATCCTCACCATGCCAGCAGCTACATCCCCCTCCCCGCCTCTAACCGGCACCGACACCGGCACCGGCATCACCAAACTGACCAACTGCCGTCTCATCATCGGCGACTCCCTCATCCCATCCGACCTCTTCATCGACTCCCTAACCGGCAAGATCCTCGAACCCTCGAACAACACCCTCCTCCCAGACATCACCCTCGATCTCCAAAACCGCATCGTGTCCCCCGGCCTCATCGACTGCCAACTCAACGGCGCCTTCGGCTTCAACTTTTCCACCCTCACCTCCTCCACCGAATACCTCAAAAACATCCACTCTCTCAACAAGAAACTCATCCGCACCGGCGTCACTTCCTATCTCCCCACTTTAACTTCCCAGAAGCCTGAACTATACCACTCCGCGCTTCCACACCTCGGTCCTCTCCCCGGTATCTCCTCCTCCTCCAACCACCACCACCGCAACCCCCAAAATGGATCCGAATCCCTCGGCGCCCACGTCGAAGGCCCCTTCCTCTCTCCCCTCCAACACGGGATCCACGACCCCTCCGTCCTGCGCGCCGCCCACTCTTTCCAAGATCTCGAACACGTCTACGGCTCTTCCAACCTTTCCTCCTCCTCCGGGTCCTCGGGAGGAGGAGCAAACATCAAATTAATCACCATCGCTCCCGAACGCGGGTCCATCGTCACTCTCATTCCCGAGCTCGTCGCCCGCGGAATTATCGTATCCATAGGACACACCGAGACTTCCCTCCCTGTAGCTTCCGCGGCAGTCAAAGCGGGCGCAAAGATGATCACCCACTTGTTCAACGCCATGAAACCCCTGCATCATCGCGAACCGGGGGTGTTTGGTCTTTTGGGATTACCTGCATCTGCACCTGCACCTGCACCTGCATCTGTATCTGTATCAGGAGAAGAAGGTGAAGAAGATAAGACTTGCAAAAGACCCTATTACGGCGTAATAGCGGACGGCATCCACTTGCACCCCTTGTCCGTCTGTTTGGCGTATAACTTGCACCCTAGGGGTTTCATTCTGGTTACGGACGCGATGCATCTGGCGGGCATGCCGGATGGGAAGTACGAGTGGGTTAATGGGGAGAAAACAGAGTGGATTGAAAAGAGGGGGAGTAAGCTTTGTATTGCTGAGCCACCGCCGTCGTCGTCGTCATTGCCGCCGTCACCACCGTCGTCACCACCACAATCGCTATTGGTGGGAAAACAAAATGGGAACCACGTCAATGGCTATGTCAATGGCGGCCCGGGAAGAAGTCAGGGTGAGGAGGCAACAACCCAAAATGGCAATGGGGTAGAAAAGAAGAAAAAATGTGGAGGAGGAGGAGGAATAGCAGGTAGCTCAGCCACTCTCCTCGAATGCGTGAACAATGTCTTGCAATGGACGGGGATGCCGGTGCCCAAGGCGTTGGCGAGTGTGACTAGCACGCCGGCCGAGATGCTGGGATTGAAGGGCGTCAAGGGGAGTTTGGAGTCGGGGGCGGATGCGGATTTGGTGGTTTTTGAGGAGGTGGAGGTTGAGGTTGAGGATCTGCTGGATGGAAGTGGGAAGATAAGCAGAAAGCAGTTGGTTGTTGATGAGGTTTGGAAATTTGGGGAGAGAGTCTTTGTGAGGGATGGGACTGCTTTGGTGAGTTCGAAATCATAATGGGGAGGGAGTTGGGGCTTGAGAGATGTTGAATGATTTCTTGGTCATGCAGCTTTGTTTCCTTGCAAGGTAGGGGAAGAAAGTATAATGCTGAATGTCTGTTGGCTTGCCATTTGGCTATGCACGATGAATGGTAATGATGGTTTCCGTCCACGAAGGCATGACTTGAAAAGAAAACACCACTTGCCCCCCAATTATAACTGGCCATCCAGAACTCAAAAAGGTATAACTCATTCCCCTCCCATGTATCGCTAAACTTGGTAAAACAACTCAGGATAATGCTGCGAAGTGTTTCGCTTTCCATGCTCGATCTACTCCCCCGTACCATTACTATCGTCCCTCGCTGTCGTTAAAAAGGTTTCCTAGCCAGGCAAATAGCTATCCAGTAAGCAAGTAGCAACTCAATTCGTATCCATGTCGTATTATCATCACTTCATCCCCGCCATGCTATCCACGTCCACCCAACCTACGACCACTTGGGCTCGTCACTCTCCACCTTAGGGGTCGAGACAGCATTCCGGTCAGCAAACGGATCGTTCTCGTCCTCATCCACCTCACTATCCTCGTCATCGGACGGTTCCACCCTTCTTGTAGGCGGCTTCAGCATTGAGGGCTTCGAAGCCGCAGACGGTCGGGGAGGTGGCGCAGGACGAGGAGGCATTGGTGGTGGGCTCGCAGGGGTGTTGGTGATGCTGAGCCCAGCCATGCCCGCAACGGGGGCGCGGGGACTGCCGGGTACGCTACCGCCGGATTCTTTGGCTTTGGCAGCTTTTTCAGTTGCCACTGGAAGTTGTTAGCAGGCGAGGGAGAACAACAAAAAGGAAAGGGGAACATACTCCGATAAAGATGTGCTTGTTCAGCGAGATCGTCATCCGAGTCGCTGTCCGCGTCAATAGAGCGGTCCAGCTGCTCAAAAGTCATGAGCGCTTGGACGAGTTCATCGTTGGCATGTAGAAGGCCTCCTAGCCATTGTTCGGATTCGACGTGTTGAATCTGTGGTTGTCAGCAGTCCGTCCAGGTGTGGCCAGGAGACAATGCCACGTACATATCTCAAGATGTTCCTTCTAAGCATTTTGCACTTTTCGAAACGCTCCACTGCAGTCGAGTTCTCCGAAATGCGCTCCTTCTCTCGATTGATGGATTGCAAAGTGTTCATCAGGTTTGTGGAGGCAATGGACGCCTCGGCGATAGTCCTGGTCATCTGATCCTTTTCGGCTTCGAGGTTGAACGGCCTGTGCTTCTTGGATTTGCTGCTGCTCTTCTTTGACTTGTCCTTGCCGGATCGACTGAAGGAGTGACCATGGCCGCTGGAACTGGATACCGTCGGCCTATGCGATGACGAGGAAGCTGGCTGTGCGATTGATGAGTGGGCCTGGGCAGCTGAGGTGCTTGCTGATGGCTGACGTTCCTCCTCCTCGTCTTCGCCAAAAGGGTTCTCGGTCTCCTTAAGTACCTTTGACTTTTCTTGGGTGACGACTTGCTTGCGACGGGGAAGTTCCTGGAGCGGTGTGAGCGTGACAGGCACACGACAAGTGTAGACTGAAAGGGGCTTACCCTGTAGAGGTTCGCGACGCGCTCCATGCCGGGAGTGCTCTTGTAGGCAGTCCAGCTGCGAAACAATTCGGAGCACTTCTTCTTCACCAAGGGGTCCGACAACTCGGCGGTACCGCAAAAGCGCAAGCGCTCAAGGAGGGGTTCATCCGCAAAGGAGCGCTGGAAGCGGGCACCGGCATTCTGAATCAGAGCATCGAGGATGGTCAGGGCTCGGAGCTGGCGGTGCAGGTTTCCATATTTGAGTTTCTTGCGAATGGCACGGGCAGCCTCGGTTGGGCCCGAAGCCTGGAGGTTGATGGCTTCGATAAGCTGGGGGATACCGCTGAGATCGTCTTCGGCGAATGTCTCACTTGTCAATCGTTCGATGTCGACCGTAACAGCCGTGTAGGGTTTCTGTTCTGGGCTGTTAGCGAATGTACGAGACGCAGCTATTGAGGGCACCTTTGGTCGTTTACCGAAGAAGAGAACATTGTGTCGTGGAGTAGCGTTAAGCTGATGACTGTGGTAGCTTCGTCGTAGAAAATAGCAAAGAAGAAAGCTCGGGGATAGAAGTCGAGAAAGCTGCGCAGTGGTGGTGGATGGTATGGTTGAAGAGCAGGAGCCAAGTCAAACAGTCGCGTCGACTTTGGGTTTGTCCAGTTATCGTCAGATGGCCGCAGTCGCAGTCGCAGTCGCAGTCGCAGTCGCAGTCGCAGTCGCAGTAGGTCGCTAGAGGTAACAATGGCCTGACCAAGCCAAATTGGTACGATTAATGGAAGGTGTAGGAATTTTCCTCGTCGTTGGAAAAAGCGCAATATGTCGAGGCAAGCGCGTCAAGGTAAACGGCAGCAGCAGTCGTGCCTGCTCCAGCGGTGATGTGATGCTGTGATGCTCTGACTGAAGCTTTGACGAGGGGCGGCTGATGGCGCAGGAGCGAACAATGGCGGGGTATCGATAAGGTTAAAATTCGTGTGACGCCGTGAAACCGGATTCCGTCGCGCCCAATGTTTCTTTCGGCAACCCTTCAAACAAATGATCAGATTCACCGCATCGTCACCAACAGAACGTTGCCAGGTCTTTCGTGAGCAACCTCAATGCGCCGTCAATAAAGGAGCGAAAAAGAGGGAGCCATGCTTCCTTGACAATGCCCCGGTCGCCGGTCCTTGGCGTTTAGCTTTCAGGCCACGAGCTCCCTACAAATCTCGGCTCCGGTGCCGAATGGTGGGGCTTCGGTTCGCTATGATGCGGGGCCTGATTACTTGGCACCGTCACCCTCCCTGCTTCCCGCCTGCCTCCCTCCCGTCCGTCTGCCCGCCCGCCAGCTGCCCTCAAGGGCCCGCTGAAGACGTCCAGAATAGGAAAGTACGACTTATACATCCATCATCATCAGGCGGGCATCAACCCCTCGACGACTCGCACTTGCCAACTCTCAAGAACAGTGAGAAAATTTCAAACATTTCCACTTCATTCCACTTGTCCAGTCTTCGCAACTGAAGTCCTCTTCGACTCTCGTCCGGCCTCTCCTACCATCATGTCCTTTTCAGTCCAGTCGTGTCAACACCAGAGGCAGTTTCCGGTTCCCACCACCCGGTCCCAATTTCCAAAGGCCAATCGTATCCCAATGGCTTCGACCTCGACAGTACCGTGACGCGCCTATACTTCCATCAGTATCATTAGTCTCGATTTTTTGTACCCAATCGGACATTGTCCCTCCAAGATCACAGTCACAGACACAGATGACTTGAGTGTGGTCCTGAATATGATGGACCCTTCCAGTGCGGCAACTGCCGATGCTCCGTAAGCCCGTTCTCCCGCTTCATGTCGCATTGAAATGCTAATTTGTATTCTCTATAGTCATGATGTGCCCTCTTTTTCAACTACCACAACCCTTCCGGCCAATGATGCCGCACCGGTCAACAACGGCGTGAACGGGCCTGGAGCACTTCCAACGGAGCTTGACCATCCGGCTACTTCATCTTCCCTGAAACGCCGAAACACTGATTGGGACTGCCCAAAAAGCAAGAGAAGGGGATATGTATTCCCATCTTTTGAATCCTTCTCAGAGTATCATGGTTACGATTACGACGACAATGTCCCGGTTGGATATTCATCATGGGAAGAAGGCGATACCCAAGAGCATATGCTTGTGGACACGATGACCTCCGACCAGGAAGGCTACTATTCGCCCCCATACTCCAGATCCGAGCTATTAGAGCTGTGTGCCAACAACCCACGGGCTGGCAGAGAAGACTGTGAAGAAACGGATGCTTTCTTTGACTCGCTCACAGGTGGCGATCCGACAGCCTACGCAGGCGAACAGGACATCTTCACATACCACAGTGTTCCTACGTGTGATGCCCTCCTGGCTAGAGAGTATGAGGTTCCGTCCGGTGACAGCAATGTAGCGACTGCTGACGAGTACTCGGTCGCATCGTCAGAGGAAGAAGCTATGGCGAAGCTGTTGGATTCCTTGGCGGACCCATTCGCACAGATTCCGCCATCCAGTGTCATCAGAGCTGTGGAGGGGAACTCTACGCCTGAAATATTTGACCCAAGTCTACGGAGATCAACGCCACGTAGCAGTGCAAACAGCTGTTCAGTTCCCGTCGGAAACGATCAAAATGCCGACACGGAAAACTTGCTTGATGAGGACATTGACTGGGATGAGGTTTTCCAACATCTGCCTGCTGCTCCCAAGGAGGATAATACGTCTCAATTTGTGAAGCTTCCCAATGAGGCCAACCAGCCGCTGGAGAATGCGATCGAATGGATGCAGTCCCGCTCAATTAGCCCACCCAAATACCAGCCATTTGCCAGGCCACCTTTCCGCAGCCCATTGCGTAACAAGTCCCTCGTAGAGGGTTTATTAAGTACGACCGTCCTGAGAACATGCTTCCGTCTGGATTCAGTATTCAAGGAAGTAACTCAATGCTTCCGAGAAGACCAAGAAGTGACCTTTGAGCTTTTCGCCAGGGTTTCCTATTCCTCGAGAGAGAAGGGTTCGCGGGTTCAACACTTCCAGCTTATTGATCTCTTCGAGGAACAGCCTCCACATCTATCGGGTGTTCTGACTAGGTGGAAGAACGACAGTCTAGTGGAAAAGGAGGCCTCCAGGTTCCTCGACGTACCAAACAACAAGATGTGTCGTTGCATGTGTCGACCAAGAAAGGCCAAAAAGCCCGAGATCGGTTGGGACCTCGAAGTGTTGCGTATCAGAGTCACTGATTGGCACGAGATCGAGAGTGTCCGGAGCGTTGTCTGCTACGAGTAACCTGGATTGATATCTCTGGGACTACGAAATATCGTTGGAACGCCAGGGTCCAATGCGCCACCATTGTAAATTTGCGGTACTATCTTGACGGGACTGCTATATATGTTTCTGTGGTTTGTGTACTGATATCAGCCATGATCGTGTTAGGTAGTGAGTAATCACTGTGAAATGACAGACCGACATTGTGCAACGTGAGGCTAACATCACTCTTCCAGATATGAAGAGCCATACTGATACGTCTCATTCCCAGGTCTGCGCTATTCTAGCCTCCAATCTCTGCTTGAGCGTGATCGTCCTTGTAGTCCATTCCTTCAATCTGTTGTTAGTCAAACTCGTCTGAAGGGTGCGCTTGAGTCGTACCAACTGCTGACCGCCCATATCGGCCTTGATGTCTCCCATGGACGGCTGTCTGCTAGGGTGAGGATGAAGCAAACAAACAAACACACGGCTACTCATTCATCCTTTTTTTCTTGCAGTCGAGGAAGAGACTCTTAGCCGAGACTCGCCAGACTTTGCTCTGGAACTATAGGTAAGTTCCATACCCTTCTTAGCAAGCTCTTGCCGAACTTACGCATCTGCTCACCACTGAAGTATTCATCCGAGAGATCGCAGCGACGCTTATGTTGTCCGATGTCCATATCTCTCTCCTACCATCCAGTATCACGGTACAGAGGAATCTCCGAGTTTCCAAAGAGTAGGCTTATCTTTCGTCTGTTCTCCTTCCGCTGACAGACGTTTGTGCTGTTCATCGCCCGGGCTATTTTTCCATGGCAGTTGAGGGATAAATAAACGGCTCCTAGCCCTGCAACTCGGGATCCTTCTCTCCTCTCCCTCATCCTCTCACAGCAACCAGTCAACCATCTCTCACATTACCTCCCTTCATCGTTCAGATTCTCCCGCTCAGATTCGCTTTCAAAGTTAAGCATCACGATCGGAGCCCTCTGTAAATTTCTGCTCTCACAACTATCGGTCCAGTTTCTTCCATGGATGTCCCTATCAAAGAAGAGGCGCCCTCGGCAGCAGAAGCGAATCCCCGTGACATCGTCACCACACCTCCCGGCAAATATCTTCCCTTTGCCTGGGACAGCTGTTCCAAGGACCCGCTACGGTCTCGTATATCTATTAAGCAACAAGCTGTCGAGGATGCCTTTCACCATGCAAAGTTCATTTGTCACTCAATTGTATCAGCATTGAAAGACGAGAAGCCAGAGACATTCAAGGAGCTGTTTGATCAAGAGATAGTTGCTTGGATGGACGAGATTTGTAAGTCCAATTCTTTCGTTTGGAAATTGCGAAGACTGACATGTAGCAACAGGTCAACTCGAAGAAGCGCACATGAACTTTGAAGTGTTGGTGGGCGTTGCAGGCGTCACAGGTGCTGGCAAGAGCACAGTTCTGAACATGCTTCTAGGCATTCCGGAGCTTTTACCTTCTAGCAACTCGGAAGCTTCGACATCTTCAGCTTGTCGAGTCTCCTGGAACCACAACGATGACCCTGAGCACGAGTTCACTGCCGTAGTGGCCTTCCGCGAGCAAGAGGATGTCAGACGAGAGCTCGAAATGATATACGAAGCGCTTGCTGAGTGTCACAGGATAAAGGAAACTTCCGCAGATGATGAAGAAGAGTTGTTCCAGCAAGAAGCGGAAAACGAGAAGACCATTGAAGAGGGACTGCAGAAGATTCTGGCTGTTTGGGGCAAGGAAAGAGAAGAAGTGGAAGAACTTTCAGCAGAAGACCTTCTCGCATCCAATGAGGATGTCCTGTCCGTTCTCGGTACCAGCAAGCACTTTCATGCTGCCGACAAGGAAAAATTTTCCGAGGAGATCAAGCCATACCTTGATTCATCAGCAACGACTGAGGGCTACCAAACATGGCCTTTGGTTAAGGAAGCCAGAATTTTCGTCAAAGCTGATATCCTCAGACACGGAATTGCATTGGTCGATCTTCCAGGACTGTGTGATGCCGTCGAGAGTCGTGCCCAGGCTGCTGAACGTTACAACCAGCAGATCGACACAACTATAATCGTGACACCATCAGTTCGGGCAATTAACGAGAAAACAGGCTTTCAACTGATGAGCAAGTATCAGGCCCTTAGAATGAAGCTCGACGGCAAGCTTCAGAAGAACAGATCTTGCATTGTGGCTTCGCAGATGGACAATATCGACTGTGATATATTCAGCGGAAACTCTCCAGAAGCGAAAAATAAGGCAAGTTTGAAGGAGGACCTGGAGAGTATCAAATCACTGTCAAAAAGAATTGGGCATCTTGATCAGCGCATCAAAGACACCCGGAAGAAGGTCGTTGAATACAGGAACAGGAAGCAGAAAGCGATCATTGATCGAGATGCATTGAAGCCCACTGGGGTAGGTGCGAGAAAGATACAGCAGGGTATGATATCAGTCCATTCCTTTCTCACACGATTTTGGTGCTAACACCAGACACAGACAAGAGGTACCAGGAGAAAATGAAGACGGCAAGAAACAGGGTGAACAACACGACGAGACTGGTTCGTACCGAAGAAACTACTTTGAGTGGTCACCAACAAGAGCGGTACATGCGGCTTTGTCTTTGCGCGCATGCAAGGGCCGGGCTAAATGGACATGCATGTCCATGAGGCACAGTCAAATTGAGAAACGGCTCACGGAAAACCTTGAGAGACAGTGGAAGGAGATGGAGGGAACTAGCCAGCAGCTTAGTTCAAGCGAACGCCTTACCGACATCTTTTCTGTCTCGGCTACCGCATACCGAGACCTCCTCAAGGGAAGAAAGGTGACCGGGTTTCCCACCGAATCGTACACCGGCATACCTCAGCTTAGTCAATGGCTATGCGACTCCGTGATGGAGAAGAGGGAAGTTCATCTGGACAGTCTCCTCAACGCACTTCGCCGCCTCGCGCATGGCATCCAAAGATGGTCAAATGTCAACGCAGAGGGTATGGACGTCAGCTTTTCTCGCGAAATGATAGAGACCGTGTTCTCCCGCAGTCATGATAGGTGCTCTCAGGTAGGCTCTTATACATTCACCCCAAGCTCCTCTTCCTCATGCGACTGACACATGAAAATGATAGAAACTTGAAGCAGAACTTCACTTGTGGTCAGAAAAGATCAAGTCATTCGATCCTTTTACTCAAATCCATCAAACCCAAGAGATCTGTAAGAGAGAAGCGGGAAGAGTTGCCACTAGATGGGCAGCCAGATACCCGAACGACATGACTTCTTCGGTCTTTATGGCCTGGACTACCTTCAACGCAATTCTCAAACGAGGCGGAGGTCCTTACAAGTTTAGAAGTAAGATCGGGGACAGCCAAGAATACAACTTTCCCGAGGCTTTGTATGTGTACGAAAGTGCCGTGTTATCACATGGTCCATGCCAACAATTGTCTTCCACAGAATCGTACCCATCCTTGAGAAAGTAGTCCTGAAAACTTGGCACAACGTGTTCCAGGTTAAGATCCCAGCGGCTGAGAAGCGTATCATGCCTCGAGTTGATGCAATCTGGGATCAGTACGTGGAGGAGCCCGTATGTCAAATCCAAGAAACTGCACCCCAACTTATTCCTCACGTCTTGGAATGCATCCCGATCGTGCGCGGCGTCAAAGACGAGATATGTGACAAGGTTCACGAAACACTCACAAAGCTTTCGAAATGCTCTGCTGAGATTCACCCTGAGTTTCGAACCACAATGGAAGAAAAACTCAAGCCTATGTTCGACAAATGTCTAGAAATCAAAGGTAGGCCAAAATTGAGACCTCGAAATGTTTTCAATTCAAAAAAAAGTCGACTAACAAAGATACCTTTCACAGGCAAGGGACATTACCAAGCTCGCCGCAAGTATTTGCAAGACAACGTCAAGGCCAAGAACACGAGAATGTTCAGCGATGGGTTCAAAAAGATGAAAAGACGATATGAAACCCATCTGGCCAAGGTTCCCCAGGAATTCTCGGCAATCGCCCAGTTCGCCGTGACAAAGGTCCGGGAACAAATCGGCCTTTTGCTTACCAACATTGATTGAGACGGTCAACGAGAAACAGCAAAAGCTGTCAGACAGCGCCACCATGTTTCGGGAGAAAGTCGGACAGACCGCGATGCAATGGGTGGCCGAGTGGAGGGTTCCGAGGTACGAGGCCTCTTCGGCACGCCCCCATAGTCTCTTGCTGCCCAGAAGGTATGTCGAGCCTGAACCGGAGGAGCTGGATGAGGAGGGAAACGCGGTGGAGAGCAGAGATAAAGCGGAAGATGACGGCGATTTTGCGATGGAGGAGGATTCTGAGTGATCTGGTGAGGAATTCCGGAGGAACTATGGGTGTGGTCTTTGGAGGAACATTAACATTGCTTGCTGAGTTTCGGGTTGGGTTGGAGTTTTTGTCCCAGGGGAACGTTCAGAAACACTTCTTTTTTTTTCTTTGGCCTTGGTGCTATTTTGCACTCGCTTCCATGACGGGTATCTCTGGGGGACCTATACATTTGCAGATCTGAGGGAAATTCGCGTCTGAGTTTGTCATTGGAGTCATGACGACGACGACATCCCAAGCCATTCTGGCGAGCTTTTTCTCACATTTTCTTTTTTCCCTACAAGTTTTCCGAGGATATCATTGGGAGGTTAAGCTTCAATGCTTTCCGCCTATGAGACTATGCCATGCTGACGAAGCGAATAACATTGAGAGAAAGGTCCCGGTTTATAGCTCTCCAGTATCTGGACACGAGCTGTGATCTGTTGGATGCCTTCATTCTCGGGGGGGAAAATGGGGCAGGTGCTGATCACCTCGAATGAAGTGAAGCAGCAATCATATAGAATACTCACTGATAGAATCAAAATTATGCGTTGCCTTTCAACATGGAAGTGTTTTTTTCCAGACACAACTTTTCTTCCTTTGATACCAACATTGACAAGGGAAACATGCCGTGCTAAAAAGCCTGGTCGGGCTTCCCAAGGAAGTTCTCGCCAGGTGATGTTCAGGGGAAAGCGAATGCGAGTGTAGATCTATAACATGTTGACAAAATTCACTGAAGATTGGAATTACCAACACGAGGGATATTCTCCGTTCCTTCGACCATCCCGAGGTTGTTTTAATTTGTGTTGCACACAAGATCCAGATAAGGTTGACCGCGGCGTTGAGGTGCAGCACATGGACGGCAGTTGAAGTTTAGGTGGTGATCCACTAACAGCGCGCCAATAGCACGAGGTAAGTGCCCCTGTTCCACTACTGTAGAGTACGTCATACAGGGCATCCCTACACGCTAAACTGGACCGGGACTGGGTCCGCTATCAGCTTCCATTCGTTCGTTTGTGCCTGGGCCGTGATGTTTTTTTCTGGTTCTCTGTAACCTTCCTCTTTCAACCTACACGGAGGTTGGACCAACGTCCCCCTCTTTTGCGGTAGTGATGATACCCCTCATCTGAAGTCTCGATTGACCAAATCATTGCTTTTACCTCGGCTGGGAACAATCTCTTCCAGTACATGCGCAGCATCATCCTCTCGGCTCGTCCTCCTCCTCTTCTCCTCCTCCTCGCGTGCCTTATCGCAACCGAAGCTGCGGACGGAATATCTCAACGGCCAGACGCAGTGCCACCCACCCCTCTTCCTCGATCCAGATCGTGATCCGAAATATACAACCTACGAATGTTGTACTCGATATGCTCCGAACAGCCCTCGTGATGCCCGAGTTGCATTCGACGTGACAGCACAGAATCTAATCTCGTCAAATCTCCCGCCAGAAGGAGAGGTCCTACCAACCATGTTTGTGGGTTAGGACACACGGTGATGATTGGCTTCTGATCATGAACCACATATCGAAATTGTATCTGCCTCGGAACATTGATGGCGTCCTACCACTTCGGATGTTGAATCAAACAGCATTCGCGTTGCAGCTCGCCAAAAGCCCTGTGCGTTGCGGTGGACGAAGGAAAACTTGGCAGAATGCCTGATCCAGATCGAGGATGATACCCCGTTGGAGTCTTTCCCATGTTCGACAAGGACCGCAAGGACCCTCGGATGGACACAACAAACACAGAAAAAGCATGGCCGGAGCTACAGATCGCTTAGTCGCAAATGGAAATGGAAAACACCCGACCCACCATCATGAACAACAAGCGTGGGAGATCCTCCGATTGGGTTGGGTTACCGCCTTGCCCTTGATCTTGGCAGTATCGTTGCTGTGAAATCAAGTGGGACTCCAACCCACGCTTCGATCTTCCACCGTACAGATCCGTGCGGGGAGCGTAGATGGTCGTGTGTCTGTCCAGGGAGGATGAGATGGGTATAGATACGAAGCCTTTCCCTAGCAAAGGGGATGTTTGGTTCTCTTGAGCGACGTTGTCCCAAGTCCTCTTCTTCTTCAAGGGTATGTAGGAACAGGCTCTTCTGAGACATCCTTCTCAGATCCAGACCTCCACTAACATATCCCAGGCACAGGTAGCCAGCATCGCAAGATGCCGTACTATCAACAAGACCGCCGCGGTGGCATGGCACCTCCCAGACGTCTCATAACCATTGCCGTCTCCATCGTTTCCTTCTTCATCCTGACTGCTCTCGCTATCGCCCGGTTCGGCCCCTCCTCCGAGTTGCACGCTCGGAAGCTTGCCCAGCGCATCGAACATGCCCAGCGCGCCAACCTCCAATCCGAACCGCGGGACACTTCTCTCGGTGACAAGTATCTGATCGGTGTCGGGAAGGCCGACGTCACCGGCCCGGTTGTCGAGGTCGGCTTGGGCGGGTATGCGGACACCAGCCAGGTCGGAAGCGGTTTGCGCCAGCGGTTGTACTCGCGCACCTTCATCATCGGCGAGACCAAGAACCCCAAGAATCGCGTGGTGTATATTGTGCTTGACACGCAGAGTGGAGACACGGCTGTCCGCAATGGTGTTCTGGATGTGCTGAAGGGGATGGGAGACGAGTACTCAGTTTATGGCCAGTCCAACATTGCGCTTACGGGAACGCACTCGCATTCCGGACCGGGTGCGTGGTTCAACTACTTGTTGCCGCAGATCACGTCGCTGGGGTTCAGCAAGCAGAGCTATCAGGCGATTGTGGATGGTGCTGTGCTGTCGATCAAAAGGGCGCATGAGTCTCTTCAGGAGGTATGAACGACCAGACTATACCTGGTGGAACAGGACTAACCGGAATAGGGCTACCTTGACATCGGCACAACCGACATCAACGACGGAAACAATAACCGCAGTCCCTCCGCATACCTCGCCAACCCCGAGTCCGAGCGAGCCAAGTACCCCTTCAACACCGACAAGACCTTGACCCTCCTCCGGTTCCGGAGAGCTTCCGACCTGAAGAGCGTCGGTGTTCTTACCTGGTACCCCGTTCACGGCACATCCGTCTTTCAGAATAACACGCTCGTGAACGCTGACAACAAGGGCGTTGCCGCATATCTATTTGAGCAATCCGTCAAGGGCGACAGTCGTGCTGCTGATGGTTTCGTTGCTGGCTTTTCCAACGCGAATGTGGGTGATACCACGCCGAATACGCTGGGTGCCTACTGCGATGATGGTACTGGTGCTGCATGCGATTTTGAAAGCAGCACTTGTGCCGATGGCAAGGTGCAGGCTTGTCATGGAAGGGGACCGCTTTTCCAGAAGCTGGATAAGGGCGTAAGTAGTTGCTACGAGATTGGGAGGAAGCAGTATGCTGGAGCCAAGAATGTTTGGGTAAGTGGTCTTTTGCGTTGATGTGAAGAGCAGTTGCTTACAGATGTTAGACTTCTCTTGATTCAAGCTCGACGCCGGTTGTTGGCTCTACCGTGAGGTCATTCCACTACTTCCACGATATGCGGTACTACAAGTTCAACCTCGACAATGGCACCGAGGTGCAGACCTGCCCTGCTGCTCTTGGTCACTCCTTCGCTGCTGGCACATCGGATGGTCCTGGCGCTTTTGACTTCACCCAGGGCGACTCTGGTGCTCCTAACAATCCGTTCTGGTCCGTCGTGGGCGGTCTTTTACGAGTTCCATCCGCTGAGCAGGCAGCCTGCCAAAAGCCCAAGCCCATTCTCCTCGACGTCGGCGAGATGGACAACCCTTATGTCTGGACCCCCAACATTGTCGACATCCAATCCTTCCGTGTCGGCCAATTCTTCATGATCATCTCCCCTTCCGAAGCCACCACCATGTCCGGCCGTCGCTGGCGCGACGCCGTCAAAGCCGCCGCCAAGCAACAAAAGCTCACCGGTAGCACCGAGCCCGTTGTCGTCCTCGGTGGTCCCGCCAACACCTACGCCCACTACGTCGCCACCCCCGAGGAGTATGCTGTCCAGCGCTATGAGGGCGCTAGCACGCTCTTTGGGCAATACGAACTGCCGGCGTACATCAACCTGACTCTTTCTGCTCTCCCTTACCTCTCCCCCAGCTCTAGCAGCTCGCCACCCCCAGGCCCTAGCCCGCCTGACAACAGAGATGACTCCCTATCCTTCATCACAGGAGTTGTCTACGACGGCGCTCCCTCCTCGAAACCATTCGGGACATGCATCACGCAACCATCCTCTTCCTATGCCCGCGGCAGCGTCATCACTGCCGTCTTCCAAGGCGCCAACCCCCGCAACAACCTGCGACTGGAAGGCACCTACGCCGCGGTCGAGAAGCTGGGAGCAGATGGAAAGACGTGGACGCAGGTGCGGAGTGATGAGGATTGGAACTTGACGTACGAGTGGAAGAGGACGAATGGATTGTTGGGGCATAGTGAAGTGACGATCAGATGGGAGACCAGGACGGAAGGTAATGGGGAGCGAGATGATCCGACAGGGACATATAGGATTAGATATTATGGAGATGCGAAGGCTGCTATTACTGGGAAGGTTACGGAGTTTCAAGGGGTCAGTAGGGAGTTTAAGTTGACTTAGGACAAGCCAATTGAGGCGGTGGCTTTTGGGGTAAGATGGGTGGTAATGAATGGCATGATAATGAGAAATGATGATGATGGGATGATGATGGGATGAACGAATGGTTTTGGTATAGAAACCAGGTACGATACGACCGAGCCATGGAAAAACATTCGGAAAGTCCAGACCAAACCCAGTACTGGGGGAAAAAAGAAGCCGAGATCCCGACAACGTGCTACCTACATCATTCATTTCCCGGAGAAAGATGAACAGACTTTTGCAAAAAGTAACACTTCCGCGGTCCGTAGGTCCTACTTTAACAATCACCCCACGTTTCTTTCCCCTCCCCCTGATGCGGGCGACGAGTGCTTATCTTTCTTGGTACCTGACTTAGGTATGCTATGGTATCTCCGCGGAGCCTCAATTGATTACTTGGGTGTAAGGAATTGAT